TAGGTTTTTAGATACCTTGTTATTTACAGCAGGATAGAAAAGAAAAACAAACATTTTGTTAGAGATAGAAGGTATATAATTTTGGCTAGTTATAAAAAAAGAGATTGATTTATTTGAAAATGGAATAATGGAATGGCTTAAGTATTTTGCTGATTTTATTCAACTTTCTGTCAAGCATACCGGATCTTGTAAGTTTGTCCTTTTTTGTGTAGAAGCCTAAAACCAGAAACATCACGGAATAATCAGTTTAGATTTGGAGTAGGGTTGACTCCTTTTTGGGGAGCAATTTTGGTCAGATTGGTCAGATTGCTCTCTTTTTTTCAGGATGTATTGAGGCTAAGACTTAACAATTGCTACTATTTATGCTATGCTTTTCTTGAATCACAGAGGCATTAAACCCATGGTCCAAACTCATACTAGTTCTGGAACAGCAGTGGGATTAATGCATGTGATAATATCAGTGGGAAGGAATGTTTTACCTGCTCCTCTTTCTAATATTTCCTCTCATAACTGAATAATTAAGTAAAATAAGTAAACAAGTAAAAGGGAGAAGGGCAAGATAACTGAAGGCTGTACATGCACCAGCTTTGATAGTTAGAATGATCAAAATGGTACCTGTGAGCACTGAAGTGCTTGTCTTTAGTGTCTGTGGAGCAAGACTGATTCAGGTCACAATAGACTTGGGGGATCCGTCAGTCTGCCTGAAGGTAGGAATTCACAGCAAAAGAATTAAGATCTGATTTACATGCGCAACAGATGAGAAAGCAAAATCCTGAATTAGCTCTGTCATTCAGAAGGATTGCATTTCTTAATTCTCTATGTATCATCCCTGTGCAAAAAATCCTAAGTCCCAAGTCTTAGACCAGGCAAAGGAATTAAAGCATGTTTCTCTTTTAGTGGAAGAGATATATCTGCTTCCAAAATGGTCTCTCTCCTCCCTACCCTATGCCTATGCAGATCCTATGCAGATTTAATGGCTCAGAAACCTGTAGAAGAGAGCAAGATTGGTGTTTAGCATTGAAAATAAATACTTCTCTTGTTGAATCAAAGAACTAGAACAAAGGTGGAAAAGATGCTTTTAGAATCAGTCCAAATGTTTGAACCTCAGAGGTACTGTGTTCAAAATAAACTAGATTATGGTCCTATTTCATGCTCATGAATGAATTCTATGAGCATTGTTTTAATGAGCAAGAGAAAAAAAATGTGAGATGCAAGGTTATATGTTTATATAGCCATTGCTCACATGATACAATTAAATAGGCTTGGAGTAGGATGCTGTGGAAACATTCAGATCCAGTCTATTGTTCTGAAAACTAGCCCAAAAGGAGTAGTTGGAACCTGAAATAGACAATTTGGAGCCAAAGTCAGTCAACTATATCAGGAATTCAGAACTCTCTTTGCATTCAAAGCAGGAAAAGGGGGCCCGATCGATTTATATGTTTTGCGCTATCAGTCCACACAGAAGAAGTTACAGGAGAGAGATGGCAAAAGGGTGGAGTCACAACTCCATACCTACTTTATCCAAGAGGCCATTTCTTTTTTAATTACTGAAAAAAGAGACATTTTGTCTCCTAATCTCCTCCATCTGGGAAGACTCCAGAAATGGCTATTATACAACTGACTGAGTTGTCTATGAACTGCCCTGTTAGCAGGTGAGTTGATTACCTCAAGGAGCAGCTAACTGTCGGGTTATCTAGTCAGAATTATAACATATTTTCAGTTTTCTCTAAGTATTTTTATATGTTTAATATATTTTGTTAAGTGTTGAGTGCTTAATTTTAGAATAATCTAATAACTACAAAAGCAGGTGATTTAGTTCCTTGATTTTTCTGTGCACACAGGTATAACTATCTATAATGAGGTTGTGCTATAAACTGCCAACTCAACCAGCATGTGAAGCCAAGCATAAACTAAATAATAAACAGATGTGAGTCACCAAATATAGAACATTCAAGTCCTCCGTTGCAAAGGGGCACAAATGAGATGATAGGGTATTAACGGAAAGATGCAATTTACAGGTCAGAATGTAATAGTAACCTTTCACAGTGAAAATTGAAAATTAACCTTTGGAGTATTGGATCATTTGCAACTAATATAGTAGGCTTCTTAAACTTTAAAAAACATTGCTCTTGTGGATTCAAAAATGACATTGTAAACTATATTTATTTTGCTGTCTTCCTCCTATAGCAATCTTTTAACAAAATTGTAATTTAGAGATACTATATTAATGCAATTCTGTGAAAAAGCATTTGCCTCCTTTCGGATATTGCATGAATATTATCAGAACTTAATATATTACTGGTGTAAAGAGGGATCTGCGTGAACAATAACACCATAAATGGATTTATTTCATACCCAGATTCATCCAAATAGCAATATGCTATTAGTATTAAATTTATTTACCTCCCATCTCATGAATCAGAGCAACTCTAAATGGCTTATAGTATAATAAAAAAATATACAAATACCCAGAGAATTATAAAAACAGATTAAAATTTAAAAAATTAAAACTAAAAATGTTGAAGCAAAGAAATGAGGGTGCCTTCTCTATTAATGCGCCAACCACTCCAGTCAGTAGCTTCTCCTTCAAGACCCAGTGCCAGTCAACAAGCCAAGTTTTAAGGCTTTTCCTGAAGGCTAAAAGACCCCTCCCCGTCTAGAATAGAGGACGTCGTTCTATAAGGGTTCCAGTCCCCCGGTATTGTCTTTTCGGAGGAGACCTAGGGTGGACGTCTTTAAGGAACCGACTCCCTTAACTATCATCCGGAGAAAACGGTCGTGTTTATCCGGTTTTAATAATGGAGGCCCCCGGTCATGAACGTTAGTCTGTAAAAGGACAACGGTCTGATCAGACGTTCACATCATTGTATGGAAATTTGGTTTATTCCTCCATGTAATAGAGGAATTCAATTTCAATTCAATAATTTCTGAAGGTTTTCTAGCATAGACTGCTCTTTTTAGACCCTTCCACAATTTTTGTTCAGGTCTGTGTCTGGAATGTGGCTTGGCTGTTGCAAAATATTGTAATCATTTACTGTATTTGTAGACTTGGCTTTTCTTTCTGCGTGATCAATTTGCATTTTAGCTTCAGCTGACAAAGAGTTTATCTCTCACAGCTACTGTCCATCTTTCCAAGAAGGACGGTTTTGTTTAGGAAGTAAATTAAATAAGCACCAAACATTGATGTCATTTTTTTTGGCTCAAATTTCATTTATTGTATCAATAGGATCTTATGAAGCTCCAGAGTTAGCTTAAAGGGAAGACAGGCAGCATAAAAATTTAATTAATAAATAAATAATAAATACAAATGCATATGTTTTGCTTAATATCTAAAAGTTTTTCAATTACAGTAAGGTTTTTATTATTTAATTTTATCTGCCCTAAAATCTTTATTTGGATCAAATTAATGAGCATATTTGCATATTCAGTTTTAATTTGTCTGAACCAAAATGCTGTTCTATGCTAGATATGCAGTCAGATAGACAATATGGTGGCAGACTTGAGCAATATATTTCTGAAATTTTTTCTCATGCCAGTACATACATAGCTAGTGCATCCTAGTACTGGATCAATATAGTATTAAATCCTATAGCTCCTCAAACATTGTCTCGGCCCAGAGAATATATCAGATTTTACTGTCCTACTTTGGAATGATGCTTTGAACATACAGGAAAAAAATCTAATATCAGAGCACTCTCATTGCCAATATTTGGGTTATACTAGCTAAGGAAAATGTCAGAAGTAAGAATTATGATTGAATAGCAAAAGTATACAAAGTATGGCAAAAATGATATTTTCCTTTTTACGGTATTAGAATTTAAATGAAGCTAAATACTGGAGAAGTGTTTTGAAAAAAGGCAGTTGCAAATTCTTTAGTTTCCACAAAATTAAATTGTAGGATATAGTCTTATATTCTTACTTAGTGAAATCTGCCAAATTGAACTTCTTTAAAAGGGAATTATACAAATTTGTAATGATAAGACTACTAATGGTTACTGGGTTTTTCCCCTAGTTAATTATTTGTTTGCTGAGGTTTATGTGCTGTTCCAATGCAACAGGACTCTGAAGAGCTTACATTTTCTTCTTAAAATAAAAGGATTAAAATACCAAAAAAGTATAATAAAATGAGAAACAGTAATCAAAATGGCAATACAAAAGTTACTAAAACAGAGATTAAGGTTATGAGAACAAAGTGTCCAACCACAGCCCAGTAATTTTTACTGGATCTCTTCCTAAGGCTTTCTTTAAAAAACTTGTTTTAATGGCTTTCCTGAAACATTTAACAGTGTTAGGAGCAAGTTTGATTTTGAGTAGTAAGCTATTTCAAAAAATGAGAGGCTACAAAATTGAAGATTTGACCTAGAGTAGAGGTGTCCAACCTTGGCAACTTTAAGACTCGTGGACTTCAACATGCTGTTTGAGGAATTCCGGGAGTTGAAGTCCACAAGTCTTAAAGTTATCAAGATTAAGCACCTCTAACCTCGAGTGTTAGTGAAATGTAACAAACAAATAATACATCTGTGATAATACAATAAGAAAACTCTAATACATTACAATGATTAAAATAGATTAAAGAGAGAATGAATGAATGAATGAATGAATGAATGAATGAATGAATGAATGAATGAATGAATGAATAAGAAACAAGGGGGGAAAAGGAAGGGGAGATAAATATAGTTGTTTAAGGATTGAATTTTATAGTGATATAAAATGGTCACTAGTGATGAAAGCAATTTCTCTCACATCAGGGATAATTTTTTGTTGTTATACATCAGTTGACAAAATGTACTTTGTCTAGTAGTTGCTTCTGTCCAATCCAAATTGTGAATCATACAAAACAGCTATACAAAACACAATAGTTATTGATGGTACTGAATCTATCATCATTTTATATTGTATTTCTTTTTGTTTATTGATATTTTTTGCACTGAATTTTATTGTGTTCATCTTGATTTACACGGGGTATGATTGACCATAGTCACTATTGTATTTTTATCTAGGTAGCTTTGGTTCAGTGGACAGAAAGTGTTGGTCTTACTTTGGTGAATAGGGATTTGACTTCAATGCAACTGAAAACCCCCAGTGGACAGATTCTGACATACTATATTTTGCAAATTTTCCCTTTCACATCTGAGAGCAAGAGAATGGGTATCATAGTGAGGGTATGTATTGTTCATATTTTCTTTCCTGATTGGAATCCTGATGAAAATATCTGATCTTGAAAATGAATATATTTATAATATACAGTTGCAAGAAAAAGTATGTGAACCCCTTGGGATAACGCAGAGTTTTGCATGAATTGGTCATAAAATGTGCTCTGAACGTCATCTAAGTCACAACAATAGAAAAACACAGTCTGCTGAAAATAATAATACACAAACGTTACATGTTGCCATGGTTTAATTGAACATAACATGTAAACATTCACAGTGCAGGGAGGA